CCCGCTTTATGGCCACGCCACCACGCCACGTCACAGCTGATTCAGGGGAACTGACAGGCCATCCATGTTGGACCGAATACTCACCAATGAAGGATTAATGGTCGAGAGAGTAATAACCGACACTCCTTTGGGGCGCAGTGCTCATGCGACACTAGTGTTTCATTACATGTGCTACGCGGATTATCCTGAAGAGCATACCGAGGAATATGGCGTCGTAACCAACTATGAAGACCTGTCCAACCTCATTGATGCACCATGCTGGTCGTTCTTTGATGAATTAACTTCTGAGGTGTCCTGCGGTGAATTCGTCAACATATTTACCAAGCTCGTGGCCAGGACAGCTGAAGCCAAACTCTACCGGCCTAGAAGGATGAAGCCTTTCGTAAGGAGCAGGACAAGTAAGTGCATGGCATTAAGGGACTTGGCATGGCACACTTACCTAGCCTCCCCGAACGACCATACCTGGGATGTCTACACAATCCAAAGGAACCACTGTCTAAAATTCGTCCGGGAGGATAAACTGCAGAACCAACAAGGTCTAGCGGAAAAGTTTTGCTCCAATCCCAAACTGCTTTACAGGCACGTAGGCAATTTGCACCGTGTTAAGCGCGGTATTCCTGCTCTGCACACAGCATGCGGCTTAGCGCAAACCGCACAAGAGGCATCCAAGGTCCTTGGATAACAATCTAGTCGTACCTACCAAAGCGTGCAATCATCATACCTCCTGCCTAAGCAGTTAACGCTGCCATCAGGGCTTAATCACATATCGTTCACCTCCGTAGCTGTACTGAAGAGGCTGATGTCTCTGCGCGAGTTCAGCTCCCCGGCTGCGGACGGCATTCGCCCGAAGGCGTTGAAAGTTGCTGTTATGAGTTTGGCAGAACCATTAGCAATATTCTTTCAACGATGTCTAAACGAGATGCACGTCCCCACGATGTGGAAGCACGGAATCATCACGCCTATCTACAAAAGTGGTAACCGTGCTGAACCAACAAATTATCGCCTGATAACACTGCTTCCTGTGATCTCCAAATTTATGGGTCCAATGTGGCTGTGGCACTGATGGGGTACCTGGCGAACAACAAAATTCTCGTTCCGAAACTGCATGGATTTCGCCAAAATCGCTCCTGTTCCACTAATCTCTTGGTTGCTCGTGCAAACTGGACGGAATCTGTGGACACCGGTGCATTAGTCGACGCGGCCTACTTGGATTTCTCAGAGGCATTCAACCGTATAGACCATCGCATGCTCCTCCACAAACTCCAGAAATATGTAGTCGGCGATCCTGTTCTGGGCTGGATAGGAGACTTTCTCGTGCAACGTCACCTGAATGTGAGGGTACGAAGCAACCTATCAGAATCTACCGAAGTTCAGTCCGGAGTACCTCAAGGCTCGGTACTTGAACCCCGCCTGTTCCTGGTCTTCATAAATGATCTCGCGATTGTGCTATCTTCTAACTGTTTGCTATTTGCTGATGACCTAAAGGTATGGCGCACTATAGCTGCAGTGAAGGATCACAAATGGTTACAGGAGGACCTGGACAAAGCGCACACATGGTCCATCGAGAACATGCTGCACTTTAACGTCACCAAGTGCCAAGTTCTCAGTATACGGCACAAGGGTATGCACAAGTACCGACTAGCACCACAAATTCTACAGCGGGCTTCTCACGAGTGCGATCTCGATGTGATAGTTCGAGATGACCTCGTTTGTTTGAGGCAGACAGAAAAGGCAGCTAAGAAAGCGGACCAGTACCTCGGCCTTCTTCGCAGAGCCTTCGTGAAGTTAGACCCTTCAGTCTTTCCAAATAGGCTTAGTGCGTACGTGAAGCCACACGCGGAATACGCTATCCGAGCGTGGCAACCCTGGCTCAAGCACCATCTCACTGCGCTCGATACTGCATAACGTGGGGCTACGAAGTGTGTCAGAGGTTTGACCAGCCTCCCCTACTTACTCAGGCTGAAGACCCTCAAAATATACAGTGGACGTTATCGGCGTGTAAGGGGCGATCTCATAATGGTGTATCAGATCCTGAGAAACCCCAACCACCTATGTCATTCCCTTAGTACATTCAGTCAAAACACCCCGCTAAGAGGCCACCAGTTTAAGTTAGTCACGCAGCACAGCCGCCTGGAATGTCATCGAAACGTTTTCTCCCTTCGAGTGGCACAGACTTGGAACGCCGTCCCGGAACAGGTAATTAATGCACCCACCCTATCCGTCTTCAAAAAAAACATCTTGACGATTCCCTGTCACATTTACACTACGTGCTATAGCTCATGACCACCAGACGTTAGCACTAATGCTCAACAGACAGTGGGTAGTGCCATAACCCTAGTCGAGCATGAGTCGCTCCGAACGTCTTGCACGAAATTTGATAAAGGCTACTACTATAGAAACTGGATTTCTGTATCCTGTCGACTCAAGCTAGTTACACACGAGTAAGCGTTGTCCATGCTATCTTTTTTATTTTTCCTGCCTATGATGTGAACAATAATCACTCCCCTGTTGCTTTGTGTGCGTGCATCCTCATTTCAAACCCCTTTATACCACAGTGCAGTTACATCTGTAAGCGCGCGAACTGATGACTCCATTATCCCTTCGGTATCTCTTTTTGTCACGCTAAACACCCTACGGGACATGTCAAGCACCTGCTTGTTTACCCGTTATAAAGCATTATTCATTGTTCCTTGTTATACATATCTTTTCGTGGATCTCATCAAAATGTCCTAGGAACCGGTACCTTGTAGACTAATTCAGACTAACATCTTTCAATCGATCGTGTAACTGGATGCATCTAGGTGCAACATTCTAACCAAGTTCACCAACCTTGCACCCATTATCAAAGTGAAATTATGGTATCATAACAGTGCCGAGTGTGGCACAGTATTTCCCCACTCAACACGACAGTCGGAGTGACTCATAGCGCTGAAGAAGCAGCCAAGGCTCTACAGACGCAATACGCCCAAACACTCCAACGAGACGTCCGCCACTGCTACCTACTTACATCCATAGCCTCAATTTCAACACTTACTACCACCGCTTTCACCGCCACGTCTATATTAAAGGAACTGATCTCACCTCGCAACTACAGTTCTTCCGGAATAGATGACATCCACCAAACAGCATCAACATTGGCCGAGCCATTATGGCATTTCTTCCAAAATTGCATGGAATACCTAACTTTTCTATCATGTGGAAACGAGGTCTGATGACGCCAATTTTCAAAAGTGACAATCGCCCGTAACTTTCAAATTATCGCCCAATGGTGCTTCTTCTTGTACTCACAAAGGAGGTGGAGGCAATCATCGCTGATGCTTTAGTCGACCATCTACAACATCACCATGGTACAGCATCATGACACTTAAGAAGCACCGTTTTCACCGAAACCGTTTATCCACAGCCGACCTACAGAATGCACGCAGTAGCTGGACGCAAGCTACCGATAAAGGTAGAGGACGGATGTTATTTACCTCATCTCCAAAGCCTTCGACCGACTAGATCACGGCATTCCGCTTCACAGGCTCGAAAGCTATGGAGTTTGAGATCCTCCTTGGATTGATTAGAAGTTCCAGAAAGATCAGCAGCTGCAGGTCAGAGTTCGAAGTGCGCTGTCCTATCCGATTCACATGAAACCTGGCGTTCCGGAATGATCAGTTCTGGGGCCGAGTACATTTCTCGTGTCCATTAACTAGCTGACGCGTTTGATTGTCTCGGAGTTCGTGTTGTTCGGTGATGGCGTTAAGATGTGGCAACGATCGCCGAGAAAGCAGATCAAGATGCACTTCAGCGAGATCTGGACAAAGCCTATGAATGCTCAGTCCACAATCGGCTCCAGTTTAACTCGCATGTTTAAGGTGGTCCCCATTCGTCACCAGCTGAACATCACATACACTCTTGGAGACCATATGCTACTAAGAGTAATCCAGAATTGCGGATTTGGATATTGATTCAGGCCAATTTAGGCTGCTCAGAACAATTCAAAAGGCATCAGAGACTGGAAACCAACAATTTGGCATGTTGCGGAGGGCATTCGGTCAGCTTGATCCTTCTGTTTGCTTAACACGTATGTGGGGTCTCAAGTGGAATACGGAATCCAGGCCTGGCAACGCTGGAATAAATAAGATATCGCACCTCTCGAGATTCCTCAGGGAAGAGCCACAAAGCGCGTCAAACGGTTGTTCCACCTTCCATATCAACTTAAGCTGAGAACCCTACAATTGTACAGAGGTTGACATCCGCGCCTACGTGGAGACCTAATAACAGCCAACCAAATTTTGTGGAACTCCAAACATGTTTATCGCCACCCACTGCAACCCAGTCACAACACGAATTTGAGAGGTCATCATCTCCAGTTGGACATGTAATACAATCGGCTAGAATGTCTGCGAAACTTTTACTCTCCTGGTGTCTGCCAGCCATGGGACGCCCTCCCAAATTACGTCGTTTCCGCCCCCTTTTTACCTGTGTTTAAAAGAAGCTTTGACGTTGACCAAACCCTTCTACATTACGAGATATAACCTGGGTGTCTCGACAGACGACATAATGTGACGAAAGTTGCACCACCAGAATTAATCTACTCAACTGGGGTTGTCTTTTACTTCACGTCTCTGTTTGAACGCTGTGGTGAGTCTACCAGAACGATTTTCAGTTTAATACTTTGTATTCTTTTCACCATGTTGTGGTGCTCACTCGGGACTTGTTATGCATCTTCGTTTTGCCCGTAATATGCCATTGTTCCAAGCTCGGAAATCATCTTCACACCAGTCAGGTGCGTTCCACGTATTATTGTTGTAGAAGCATTAATTGTTATTAGACCATTTGCTGAAATCCCGGGGGAAATTTCTGTACTGTTCTGTTTACATAATCCCTATGAATACGGAAAAATCATAGTTCAACCCGTAATAGATGTTTTTCACAGCGACTTGATCGATACAACAACAATTTAAACCCACCGAGGTCATTAAGGCACCTCTGTTCTTCGCACTTACACTCCGCTAATGCTTGACCTAACGGCCACGCTCTTCTTAACCTCATTCACTATTCTGTACGCCGTCTACGCAGTCACATGGTTATGCTGGTACATCTGGAAAGACAAGTCGAGTTTGGCCATTGCAGACACGGAGGAGGTTCTCTTCTCCGGTGGGCAGAATTACATTCGCAACGTCCTCTTTCTTGGCATAGCAATGTCGCAGCTATTTTCACCGAACTTACTGAACGAACATTCTGTCAACACTACGGTAGCTATCATTGTCTTGTTGACCTCGCGCGTGCTTGCATTCGGAATCTGTGTGGCATTCTTCAATCACTTAGCCTCACTGCGTTGTCGCACAATGGAGGAGTACATACGTAAACGTTTCGACAGCGTATTCCTGACCGCCTTGCATTTGGTTACCAGGATACTCGGTTTGCATTACTCTTGGATTATGTACATCCAGATGCACCAAACCTTTGGACTCTTCAACGCTGTCTCTTCACTGGAGTTTGTTTACGTGATGGGTATATTTGCAACCACCTCCGCTTTGGGTGGTTTGAATGTCGTGTTGGTCGGATGCTTTATCTTGTGGTTTCTCGAAATCACCGGCCAAAGTGTGCTGTTTTACAGTGCCCAGGCACACATGTTTAAAAACCAAAGTCTGATCCATTTTCAACTGGATCCATGCTATAGTGAGGCTGGTCCAAATCTTTTTCTCGTCGTGGTGAGCCAACTCCTCACAATACAGCCAACATATACGCTGTTCCAAGCCGCAACCTCTAGGAAACAAGCTAACATTGCAATGGGTATAGGAGTCGCCCTCTTCCTGTTCAACAACGTGCTGTCCATCTGTTCCGCAAATGGCCTGAGAAATTATGCGCAATCCCAAGGTCTACACTTTCGTGATGGACTACACGGCCAATACAATCTGCATTTTGAACAGGTGAGTCTTTTCCGGGCTCGTAGTCAGAAGCAGCAAGAAGCAACCACGGTGCCGAGTGCGATTACCATATCGTTTTCCCATTTTCTCATTCTGTTCGGATCATGTGCATGCGGCTCCATTGCAATGTTTCTGTTGCAAGTCCAGTCTCTGGCGATGCACACATACCTGAACGTTCTCCCAAAGTGGTTGCGTTTCGGTCTGATTTCAGATGGACGGGAATTGCACATTACCTTTTCCACCACTTACTTGCTCTGCGCTTATTTGGGAATAATGTATCTGACTTACCCTTATACCATACCACCTCAGCAGGAAGAGGCACTGAACCAATATTACCTGTACCAACCTCTAACGAGCCAACTGCTACTCATGCCCGTCCTGACAACGGTTATTTTCAGTCCACTGTGTTCTGATGTGTGGTCCCTTCCTGTGGTGGTGGTAACTTGTGCCGTTGTGGTGATCGGTATGATATTTTCTGCCCAAACAACACCGCAAGAAGTCAGCTGTTCTGTTCGATGGATGCCGACGATCTTCTTTCTGGTCTCGCTCGGTTGCGTGATGTTCATGTCGTTTGTTTTACGCGCTCCGAAATTTATACCTACCAATCTACTATTTAAGTATCATTTCCGGTTGCGCAGAAAGAAGCGAGAACAACGAATCGTTTCCATTATAAACGAAAGTGGAGTTGCGCGCTTTGGGAGAGCAAGTTTGCGCTTCAGCAACACATAAGCTCGCTTGAGCATGCGCCGGTTCAAAAGCTAGCAGCATTTGTCATGGCACGTTATGTAGTTCATACCAGCCACAACATAAGTTTTATATTTTTGAATAAATCCAGATTTAAGCCCATACAGTACTGCCCTGCATGTTGTTCATATCATTACGTCCGTCTGTTACAACCGTTCTATCATGGGTCTATTCGAGCAGGAAAGGAGCTGTCCTTAAGCAGGCCATATGGGATTGAAACGCAAGAAGGGGGTTTTGACGCAACTTGGGTGAAGTCAGATATCCTCAAGAACATCCAGAATAACATTGAGTGACCTTACGATCCTTTTGTGATTTCTGTCTAGGGTGGGCTCTCCCGACTACGCTGGCAGTCCGGCCCACGACCAGTGTGCTTGGAAGCTAGCGGCCCAAGCTACTAGCCCAGAGATAGTGGCAGTACGACGTTATGGCTTGTAAGTACTCGGTATTGTGGAAGCCACATGGCCTCTCCGAGCGGAAACACCTGGTATCTAGTCAACTCGAGTCAAGTCAAGAATATTCTTTGCGCGCCCATGAAGATTGAATATTCGACTCTAACATGAACATCATGGACAAGGATAACTAATGAAATAGAATAGTACATAAGGATATATATAAACCACAATAGTTGGAATAAGGTAGACGGAGCTAATAGCACTGAAGCAATGTACTAATCAGATCTTGAGTGATTGAATTTTTAACGCATAATAAAGGTGACAAGCAAGAAGATGCTGATGTTCCATAGGCCCTTTTGCGGGTGTATGTAGCTTTAAAGTTCTCCCTGATCGAGACAGTTGATACGCCCTGTGGGAGTGGCTAATATTAGTATTATATGCGCAAGCTTGTTACACAGCCCTCACCACGTCAAACCCACCCATGGGGATAGGGTAAACTATAAACAGAACTGGTGATCAGATTTTGCTCTAATCCTTTGCTACTCCCAAACTCCTGCGCAAACTACTCTGCATGCGGCATGCAAGTTAACACAAACAGTACAAAAATAGGCCATTGTTCTTGAACGACGTTTCGCTCTTACTTTACAAAGTACATCAATATCTAACATCCATCTTACGCGCGTTATACCAATCACAAGGGTTTGTCCAGGTAAAAGTTACTGCCACGGATGAACTGATGCGTTTCATGTATTTGTGTGCATACAGTTGCCATGGCACCGATGACAATGAAACAATGGAACAAGTGTGGATCATGTGCTAAAATGGTGAAGAGTGGGTTAGTGTACAGCAGCCGCCTGGAAAGCTGTCAAGTTAAAAGTCTTGGGATAGGGCCAATAGAAACGACAGCCCTATATGTTCTGCGAAGTATTCAGTGTTGTCCCAGTTGTCAACTGTCTAACAGTGTTACTGAAGAAATGTGAAACACTGACAGAACCAGTCGAACAACTGGTGGGCACCAGCTTTATACCAAGGGAAGAAATGGACCTGCACTCGTACGTGAGAAAATAACGCAAATTCCCCATCCAGAATGAAGGAGAGGACCAGGCGTCTCAATCTTGACCCAACGTCTCAGCCTCCACCAGTACCAACTCCCTTCTCTCTCTCTCCCGTAAGTAAAAACACTGCTTGCAGCTTGCCCGTTTGAACTCCTCTACAGTGTATTACACCTATTAGTTTGTTCACTATACAGGAGACCCTAAGCTTCAGTTAGCCAGCCATAGTGAGGAACCAGGTAACATACGCATCGGTTGCCGCCAATCACACACCGAAAAAGCCCCGGTAATCTTAGTGGCCGGACTAGAGAAAACTGAAGTGTCACAGCACAGCTGGCCGCCATCAGTGCAGTTCACAAATTCACCAGAAGCACGGGAAACTGAGGCTCCAAAACCAGTAGCCACCAGGCGCAACCATAGTGCCTTAAACCTTGTGTACACCAATGTCCACGAATCCAAATCCAATACGATTAATGGTAGGCTGACAGACGATCGAAATCAATGGAGTTCCATCTGAATGGCGGTCAGTGTCCATGCTGATACCACGACATTAAAACGCATCTCACGTCACCCAAAAGTACTTTACTACGGTGAGCCCCGATTACTTCGGGTAACACTAAACACGGTGGATGAGACAGACGCCATTCTGTTGTCTGCGAATCGACTCCGCATTGACTCAAGTGGAGTGTACATGCAACCTTAAAACCCGTGGAATGAATTTTCATCGGATCCCATTAACAGAGAGAGCAACAGAAGAAATAAATATAAGGAAACTGTGATTGTTCACGGTGTTCCTGAGCTTACAGATTCCTCTTCCGACGATGCTCAGGTACATGAGTGGGAGCATTGACACTACATCCGTGAGGCTCTTTCTCTCGAAAATGTCGTGGCTACCTCGTTGACAAGGATCCCCGTATCAATGAACTACAAAGGATGCGGTCCCAGGCTGTTGAAACTGATCTTCAAATGAGAACTAACGACACAAACTCTTCTAGAGAATTGAACTGTTCCGTAACAGACTGCCAACAGAAATTCGCCCGAAAGTAGTAGGAACACCACCGCCTTCTAATGACAACCCAGTGGGGACGCAAATCTCAATGAAAACACTAAATGTAGAAACCGAATCGGTGGCGGTTTCGACAATAGCCATAACCCCCGCAGGGACACAGCAGAGCACGAGCGATCACCGAGATCTTGAGCATCTGCTACTTGAATATCTACCAGATACGTATACAGAGCCTGCAACCCGTCCAAAAAAGATTAGCCGCCGACTTTTCATCGGTTGGCGTAAACTCACTTGCTTCATTCATCACATTCGATACACTTTTGTTCTCCGAGTAGCTCTCATGCATATACACAAATGCCCAAGGTCTACTCAGCAATTTAGCTGAATTAAGACTTCGAGACGCGTCAGCAGCTTAGGACCCCATCGCTATCACAGAAACATGGTTGGGATGTGAGATAACGGACGCCGAAATCGCGCTAACAGGTATGTCCGTCGTCCGGAATGATCAAACCAGCAAAGGTGGTGGGGTAGCCATCTAATTGCGCAACAACCTGCAGTGCGAACCCCTACACGACTCGGAAACCGATGTGCCTGACTCCAGTTGGTACAACTTACGGCTGAGAGGGAACGACCTTAGCCTAGTGGCTGTTGTTTACCGCCCACCACAGTCTACACCTGAGATGGACTGCAACTTGGTAGCTGCGTTGAGGCAGATGATAAACAGGAAATACAGTCACGTTCTAGTCGCCGGAGATCTCAAGTTACATGAACTAGAAGCCCAGGCCATTTCAAGTGCGCAATTCAAAGCAGACCTACGAGATCTTGTCTCAGATTTTCCGCTTTATAGCCACGTCACTTCACCCACCAGATTCAAGGGGAATAACAGGCCATCCATATTGGACCAAATATTCACTAATAAATAACTAATGAGCGTGAGAGTGGTAATCGATACTCCTCTAGATCGCAGTGATCATGCGACTTTGCATTTGAAGTACACTTGCTATGCTGAATACCCCGAGGACAGAACTCAAATGAGGCGAACCGTAACCACTTACGACACCTTAACCCGACGGGTTGAGGCGACCGATTAAAGTTTCCTAACTGCGGGTGCACCGGACATTGCTTGGGAACGTTTTGTCCGTAAGTTCAACACCTTGCTTAGCGGAGCATTGGAAACTAAGACACTCAGTTCGGGAAACAATGCTTTGCTTATACGAAGTAGAACACCCAAATGCATGTTGATGCGCAACGCGGCGTGGTATGCCCACGAAACCGAGCCGAGTCCGAATACCTGTAAGGCCCATCTTGTCCACCGTTACCACTCAACCTAATTAGTGCGCGAGGATATAGTGACTTAGCAACATGCTTTAGCTAAACTAAATTCAAATCCTAAGCTTCTGTACAAGCAAGTAAACGGCCTCCATTAAATGAAAAGGGGATTTCCCTCTCTTCGAACAGCGGATGGTCTAACTCGGACTGCTAAAGAAGCGTTGAATGTTCTGAAACAATTAGATGCACCAACGTTTCATGCTATCCCGTGGTCTCCTGAATCTTTCGAAACTATGGTGCTTCCACCAGGACTCAATCATATAAATTTTACGGCAGACACCGTGATGAGGAAGCTGCTATCCATGCGCCAGCACTCCGGTCCAGGAATTGTTGACATCAGCCTAACGACGCTAGTTGTGGCGGCTAAACTTTTGGCGGAACCCTTGGCGCAGCTGTTCCAGCACTACTTTGGTGAGAGGCACGTTCCTGCAATGTGGAAACACTGGATAATAACTCCCACTTACAAAGGGGGTAGTCGTTCCGACCCAGCTAATTATCGACCAGTAACTCTTTTGTCAGTTCTTGTAATAGTTATGGTGGTTGTCGTTGCCGACGCACTCATGGCATATCTGGACGGCCTTGGTCACAATGCTCAGCAGCAACACGGCTTTCGGTAGAATCGGTCGTGCACAACCAACCTATTGTTAGCACGAGACAGCTGGACCGAAACTGTGGACGCTGGTGCAGGAGTTGATGCGGCTTACCTTGATTTCTCTAAGGCATTCGACCGGTTGGACTATCGTATACTTCTCGCCAAACTTCAAGGATGTGGCATTGGGGACTGTCCTCTCGGGTGGATCTTCAATTTTCTCTCGCACAGGCGTCTGGACGTAAGAGAACGTGAACCCGTTAGACTCAATTCACGTCGAATGCGGTGGGACACAGGGTGCAGTACTGAAGTCACGTCTATTCTTGGTCTTCATAAACGATCTAGTAAGCCAAATTAAGTCGAACCGTTTGCTATACGCCGATGACATTTAAGTTTGGCGGGTGACCAGAACTCCAGAACATTCTATCTATCTTCAAAACGACCTTGACAAGATCAATAGTTCGGCGGTCCAAAAGTGCTTTCTATTCAATGTGGCAAAGTGTCGAGTGCTCCATTTGCTACACCGAATGATCCACACATATAAGCTTGGGGGCCAGGATCTGCAACACTGTTCTTTCGAAAAGGATCTTGGTGTGGTGGTCCAGGAAGCTCTCGAC